TATTGATTCCCTCTTTCAAATGTGGCGCCTTTCACATAAGCGTCCGGTTTTTGACTCTCGAAACGGACGTAAAAGGGTGTGGATTACTTGTGCGACCACGTGGGTTTTCCCGGGTACTCCAGTTTCCTTCAACAGGAAGACCACTCGCGCGCTTCCATCCTGAGCGAAATCTTGGTGTAAGTTGGTAAAAAACTTGTTTTGTAATTGTTGTAAAATAAATAAAGTTTAATTTGATAAAATTTAGGAACCCTTTTTTGAAGTGTGAAATAAGAGAACATATCTGTAATTAGGAAGGAAATAATTAAGTGATTCAGGCACGAAACAGATATTTGGAGATAGGTTTTGAGGGGGAGGATGATGGGGCGGGGGATATGTATCATATCTACCAGAGATCGAGATTCAGTATGCTAGTGTGTTAGTATATTCTAACGTCGGTCACAGCAGGTGTGTCTGGTATTGTAATATAACAAGGCCTAGTGGGAACTTTGGGTAAAATATGGACTGGAATTTGGCGGAATTCGAAACAATGAAATTATCCTTTAATACCGAGAGATAAGACGCTGTCTTTTTTCCCTCTCTGTCATACGTCCCTGGTTTATCTGAAATATTTTGATCCAATAACAATAAGGTACATGTACAGTACTTGCGATGCTCTACTTCAAAGAGATGTGTCTAGCGAGGTAAGTAAATTCCATTTATAACATGCAAAGCACGTGAATCTGACTTGTAGTTCAGTTGATGTCACTTCGAATAATTGACAAAATAGCTGATTTGTCACTGATATGCGGAATCTACTTTTATTTTCACGTCAGAGTTTAGTACAGAATCAAAAATTTATAGCATCACTGAAATAAAATGTTAACCCTCCAGTGACCAAGCCTTGACATCTCGCGCTCGAACACTTGTCACCTAGTGCTCGAACATTTGTCAACTAGTGCGCAAACACTTCTGTGATCACGTGTCACTTAGTGCGCGAACTTTCTAGTGACCGCGCGTTACTTCGCAAAATTGCCAGTCGAGATGTTCCAGCTAGCCACTGTAATGTCGATGGATATATTTTCTGGCGGTCAGGTGTTGTTGTCGGCATTACAGATTTAAACAGCTGGGTTAAACAGCTGAGGTTTCTGTTTCCGTGAAGCATCATGACAATCAAAAGGTTTTAAACAAAGGTTTATATTTCTAGCAGTTTAATGTTTAGTTCTGGTTGTTTTCAGCGCTCAGATTTAGGTTCTTCTTCTCCAAAACAGACAAACATGTCGGAATCAAAATGACCTAGAATTTGCCTATTTCCGGCCTCATAGCTTAAACATTCCTGACTTCGATGATTGAACGTAAATAATCCGGAGATTGTAAAGTCAGATTATTTTTACGGAATTACGTGTTTTATGGCGGTGTATCGGAACAGGCGGCAACCAAGCTTACTAACTCGACACAAATGCATGTATTTAAAACAATTATTGAGTCATACGAACAATGGTTTGTTGGTTCTACCACGAACATAGAATAAAAAAGGCTGTTTTCATTTTCCATTTTTTCATGTTTTCAAAATATCTAAAGTATTTTCTTCTTTTTTATTGAAAATTTCTATTTGACACCATCTTAAAATTTGAGATTGGATGTCAACTTAATTTTGTTTTCAAAGTCACAATTGCTTTTGATGCTATCAGCATCAGTTTCATGCATGAAGCCAAGCTGGAACCGTGAGCTCACATCAGTAATTTCGTTAAGATAAACACTTAAAAAAATGAATTCATAATTATTCATAAATTAAAGCAAGGAGGAAGATAAGATATTAAATGTCAGTTTTTGAAAAATCATTTGAAAGATGACTGATCTTGTAAAAAGATTGGATCATCAGATAATTCCTATAAAAATCAATTTTAACCATTTCTGTTTAAAAAAAAAAAAATTCTAATGTTTTATTTCTGAAATACATATCACTTGTTTAACACTTTTAAATATATGAACTGATATAATATCCTGTTTGCTGTTTTGTTTTTTTGATCAGAAAATAATTAATTCAATATGAAAAATTCATCAGAATAGACATTGCAGTTCTGAACATTTGTATATGACTAATTACCAGATTGCTATAATGCAGCGTTTCAATAACTTTAAATTTTTTAACAGTTTAACTAAATTCTAACCAACTCTCTAGATATCTCAATGTTTACATTTAAACGTTTACATGGATAAATGGATTTATCAACATAAAAATCACGGTAATTGAGTGGGTATGTGTTTCTATCATATTTTATCAAAAATTCATAGTGATTTGTACAACATTAATTTGATCGTGTCTTGAATTTGATGTATAAATAGAAAATTAAATTGCTGGTGCTGATATTGTGTAGAAATTAGGATATTATATCAGAGCACTTGAGTGCATGTAGTGGTAAATATTTGATACAGACAATATAATAACAATGTTGGCTTTATCTATTAGTGATAAGGATACTCGGGGATAGGACATATAATTGTGATTTTATGAAAGTGATTCAAACTTTGTTTTATCTGGAGATGAGGTTTTGAATAACGAATTAGATATTACACGAGTTGTGAAGAAATGGAGATTAAACGATAGACAAAGGTAGTTTGGCACCAATTTGATTTTGTTCAAAAGCAATATGAAACAAAAGCACGTAGACAGAATTTGGAAGGAAGACCATTTGATTTTTGTTTACAAACTGACAGCTCTAGTCTTGATTATGAAGTATGAATATTGTTAATTTTTTTTTTATTAAACTCTAATTTTGTTGATGAAAATCAAAAGTCAGACTTATTGATTCTTTAAAATCCAGCAAATGTCCAAAATATTAAGTATGATTTAATATTTTATGTTGTTTTTCAATGTTTTAAAGTTCTCCAAACTATGATTGATTTATTGATTTCAAAATATTTAAAAAATGCTTGCACCAAAAACACTCAGAAATCAATCATGATGTCAGAATTTCTGATAATTGCTCTTGGTTATGTTTTAAAATCTGTAAAATTTAAACTAAAAAAAATTGTAAAACGGTTAATGAAGTTGAGCACTTAAGATTGAAGATACAGAATAGTGTTAGAAATATCAGTGTAACAAAGCTGGACAGCTGTGTTGTATAACATTATACTGGACTGGGAACATCGCCAAATTGGTCTTTATACTGAAAAGGCTTTAAGATCTAGGGTTTTAGTGGACGTGTTCAGATCATGTTAGCTTGTTTTTATTATCAAAAAAAGGGTATGAGAAAGTCTTTGTCTGGTTCTTACAGAAGTCTTCATGTAATATGGAATTTATTTAATGAGGTCAAAAATTTGATATGCCATGAATGTGTGCCTGTTTATCTGTCACTAGTTTTGTGTAAAGTGTATTAGCATTATGATGCAGCAGATCATGATTCAATTGTTGACTCAAAGTCAGATGGTGGGCTTATTACAGGACAACAAATTCAAATGTTGACTCAAATTCTGAGGGTCTTAGCACAGGACAAGAAATTTGAATGATGTTGTATTAAAGTCAGAGGGCAGATTTTATTATCGGACAACAAATTTGAATGTTGACTCAAAGTTAGAGGGTGGGCTTATTAGAGGACAACAAATTTGAATGTTGACTCAATGTCAGAGGGTGGGCTAATTATAGGACAACAAATTTGAATGCTGTCTCAAAGTCAGATGGTCTTAACACAGGACGACAAATTTGAATGTTGACTTAAAGTCAGAGGGCAGATTTATTACCGGACAACAAATTTGAATGCTGTCTCAAAGTCAGATGGTCTTAACACAGGACGACAAATTTGAATGTTGACTCAAAATATGAAGGTCTTAGCACAGGACAACAAATTTGAATGTTGTCTTAAAGTCAGTCGGTCTTGACACAGGACAAGAAATTTGAATGTTGACTCAAAGTCAGAGGGCAGATTTTATTATCGGACAACAAATTTGAATGTTGACACAAAGTTACAATGTTGAAATGTTGAAACAAATTTGAATGTTGTCTCAAAGTCAGATGGTCTTAACACAGGTTGACAAATTTTTTTAATGTTGAAATTTTAATGTTGATTCAAATTCAGAGGGTGGGCTTATTACAGGACAAGAAAGTTGAATGTTGTCTCAAAGTCAGAGGGTGGGCTTATTACAGGACAAGAAAGTTGAATGTTGTCTCAAAGTCAGAGGGAGGGCTTATTACAGGACAAGAAAGTTGAATGTTGTCTCAAATTCAGAGGTTGGGCTTATTACAGGACAAGAAATTTGAATGTTGTCTCAAATTCAGAGGTTGGGCTTATTACAGGACAAGAAATTTGAATGTTGACTATTCTTTTGACAAGAAAGTTGAATTATTTATATGGGGTATTATAGGTATGAGGTTTTCAAAGTCAGAGGATGGGCTTATTACAGGACAATACTTAATCTTGCTATTCTTTTGAACTTATTTATATGGGGTATTATAGGTATGAGGTTTTTGTAAGAAATATCAGATAATGTAGAAGGAAAAAAACCCATTTAGTTGGACAGGTGGCCCCTTTAACTTTTGTATTTGTTTGAAGAATCAGAGCCAAGCAGCAAGGGTGAAAGGATCAGTGCTTTGTTCCTTCAATCATGGAACGATGTGCAGAGAAAGAAGTACAGGTTTAAAACTAGTTGTCAAGAACTTCAGGAGTCAAACTTGTGACAACATGCGTAAAGTTTTCTGTTCTTGTTGGTAGTCTCGGACATTGTTTCAAAATTATTGACAAAATGATTTTTTCTGTTTGTGCAGCTTGTGTTATTTGACAACAATATGAATATATATTGTTACATGTATTTCATGGTTTTATAGTCAAAAACCAGAAATAATTGGTTCTAAATGCAAAACCAAATCCTGTTGGATAAAGCCTTCTTGTGTTATTTCAGATCCAAACAGCCAAGATGCCTTGAGGGAAACAGGAAGTCAGGCCCCAGTTGCTATGATAAAATGCTAGAAGATTGAGCCATCTGCTTGTAGCAGACATTGGGAAGAAAACGTGACCAACTGCAGAACCATGATGGACTTTAACGTATACAATTCTTTGGCTCTGCAGAATCACTATAATAGTACTGTAAGTATGAGAAGTACATATAGATATGTAGGTAAAAGAGATTACTGTGTTTAAATTAAATAAGATAAAAAATACCAAGATCTTTTTTATCATTAACTTTTTTTTGAAAATCATTGATAATATTTTATGTTTTAATTTGAACAGTCTGTAGAGATGTAGATAATGCATTATCAGGATTTATTCAAATTCAAAATCAGATATTTCTGAATTCTAATCTTTCTCCGGGGAAAAAAGGGCGAAGACAAAATTAGAAGTGATTTATCTTTGACGAGAGCAAACATGTTATCATGATAATTTTCTTTGCTCGTCTTTGATAGGAACATTTTACTAGTAAGCAAAACAATTACTGGATGTGTCATGTGTAGTGTTGTAGGTTTGTAGACAGTTTAAAAAGACTGAAAAGATCAATGACAGGAAAAACACAATAAAAACATTTCACAAGTTCAGTCAATGATTTTTAATTGCGGCCCGACCTTTCAGAACAAACTGAACTAGTAATTAAACACAAATTAAAGTTGTATGATAAAACCAGTCTGATATTAATACTGGATCTACAAATGATTGTCTTACAGATCTGGTGGAAAGATAAATTTTATCATTTTAGAGTCCTCAAATTTCTTAAGTATTTCATTTTCATCATGGCAATGAGTTCATACCAAACATTTTATTCCAAGCAGTGATCAATCTATGATTTATTTTAATGGGTACTTTTCAGCTTTATTGCTAAACGCAATAGGTCCCACAGTAGAATATTGAAGTATTTTCTGATATTCTACGAGTCCAATTAAAATGCTTTGAGTACAGGTCTCAGGGCTTGCCTGTAGATTTATCAGTGTACAATGGAGCACTGGGGATGTCTTTATCTAACAAAGAAATGTGATATAAATGAAGGATTAATCATCAATTCCTTTGTAATATCATCAGAATTTTTGCAAAAATTGCACCATATTGAATGATGAGTAAGGAGTGAGCTAGTTATTCCAGAGTTATTCCCCCTAGCATGTGTTAGGGCGTTAGGACAACATGATATTTAAAACTAGCTGTTTATAGACAGCAATATTTAATACAGACATGCCTCTGTATATATCCCTTGTAGAAGTGTATTAATTACTTAACTATATAATTGTATCAATTAAGATTCATTTTCTGGACAGATATGATACAGTTCAGGTTTTTCAGATTTGTCTGAACAATTTAAGGTAGATTTAACAACTGTTTGGTTTAAATATCTGTGTCTACTTCTAAAATTTTGGGTCACTCTGAGTAGGTTTTGTTGTGGTGTTAATTGTACAGAGGAAATCACTTGATGCCTTGTACCATTTGGCCAAAGAAAATGTGATAAGCAGAACAAGGCATTAAAAGTTGATACATTTTTTCGGATGTCTAAACCCAGAATTTAAATTTCTCATGTACCAAACTGACTTGTTTTCTTACAGAAATTGTTTTAACATCAAAATTTGTAATCTGTTCCTAGTTATCTTTACATTAATAGACCCAGCGTTTATTTGGCAATGTTCTATCGTTCCATGGTTTGTTTGTCTGAGGCTGTTCTGTATTGTGATTCTGTGGGGAAGTCTCAGACTGGGCTATCATGTAATATATTTAATAGCCAGTTATGTTAGTGACCTTCAGATGAAAGTTAAAAATCTTTAGACTTGCTGATTACTGAAGGTAACATTACACCTTCAGTGGAGGAGAGGAGATAGATAGACAAGTAGTAGGAGCCGCTCAGCGGATAGAAAAGAAAGACAGAGTAAATGAGTAAAATCAGATGTTTAAACTGGTGGAGGGAGTAAGGATATGATAGACTGATGATAAAGAAGGACAGGAAAATAGATGGAAAAAAAGGAGATTGATAATAGACAGATGGAAAGAGGAATGACTAGAAGGTTTGATGAGAGGAGTAGGAACTTGATAGATAGACAGATGGAAAGATGAATGACTGGAAGAATTGATGAGAGGAGTAGGAACTTGATAGATAGACAGATGGAAAGATGAATGACTGGAAGGTTTGATGAGAGGAGTAGGAACTAGATAGATAGACAGATTGATGAGAGGAGTAGGAAGGAACTGGATAGATAGACAGATAGAAAGATGAATGACTAGAAGGATTGATGAGAGGAATAGGAACTAGATAGATAGGCAGATGGAAAGATGAATGACTAGAAGGATTGATGAGAGGAATAGGAACTAGATAGATAGGCAGATGGAAAGATGAATGACTAGAAGGATTGATGAGAGGAGTAGGAACTGGATAGATAGACAGATGGAAAGATGAAAGACTAGAAGGATAGATGAGAGGAGTAGGAACTATAGATAGACAGATGGAAAGATGAATGACTGGAAGGATTGATGAGAGGAGTAGGAACTGGATAGATAGACAGATGGAAAGATGAATGACTAGAAGGATTGATGAGAGGAGTAGGAACTGATAGATAGGATGGAAAGATGAATGACTAGAAGGAGATGAGAGGAGTAGGAACTGGATAGATAGACAGATGGAAAGATGAATGACTGGAGAGGATTGATGAGAGGAGTAGGAACTGGATAGATAGACAGATGGAAAGATGAATGACTAGAAGGATTGATGAAGGAGTGGAACTGGATAGATAGACAGATGGAAAGAGGAATGACTAGAAGGATTGATGAGAGGAATAGGAACTAGATAGATAGACAGATGGAAAGATGAATGACTAGAAGGATTGATGAGAGGAGTAGGAACTGGATAGATAGACAGATGGAAAGATGAATGACTAGAAGGATTGATGAGAGGAGTAGGAACTGGATAGATAGACAGATGGAAAGATGAATGACTAGAAGGATTGATGAGAGGAGTAGGAACTGGATAGATAGACAGATGGAAAGATGAATGACTAGAAGGATTGATGAGAGAGGAGAGACAGATGGAAAGATAGAATGACAGATGGAGAGTAGAACTGATAGATAGACAGATGGAAAGATTGACTAGATTGATGAGAGGAGTAGGAACTTGATAGACAGATGGAAAGATGAATGACTAGAAGGATTGATGAGAGGAGTAGGAACTGGATAGATAGACAGATGGAAAGATGAATGACTAGAAGGATTGATGAGAGGAGTAGGAACTGGATAGATAGACAGATGGAAAGATGAATGACTAGAAGGTTTGATGAGAGGAGTAGGAACTGGATAGATAGACAGATGGAAAGATGAATGACTAGAAGGATTGATGAGAGGAGTAGGAACTGGATAGATAGACAGATGGAAAGATGAATGACTAGAAGGATTGATGAGAGGAGTAGGAACTTGATAGATAGACAGATGGAAAGATGAATGACTAGAAGGATTGATGAGAGGAGTAGGAACTGGATAGATAGACAGATGGAAAGAGGAATGACTAGAAGGATTGATGAGAGGAGTAGGAACTAGATAGATAGACAGATGGAAAGATGAATGACTAGAAGGTTTGATGAGAGGAGTAGGAACTAGATAGATAGACAGATGGAAAGATGAATGACTAGAAGGATTGATGAGAGGAGTAGGAACTAGATAGATAGACAGATGGAAAGATGAATGACTAGAAGGATTGATGAGAGGAGTAGGAACTGGATAGATAGACAGATGGAAAGATGAATGACTAGAAGGATTGATGAGAGGAGTAGAACTGATAGATAGACAGATGGAAAGATGAATGACTAGAAGGATTGATGAGAGGAGTAGGAACTGGATAGATAGACAGATGGAAAGATGAATAGAAGGATTGATGAGATAGACAGATAGACAGATGGAAAGATGAATGACTAAGGAGGAGAGGAGTTGATGATAGACAGATGGAAAGATGAATACTAGAAGGATTGATGAGAGGAGATGGAAATAGATAGACAGATGGAAAGAATGACTAGAAGGATTGAAGAGGAGTGGATAGATAGACAGATGGAAAGATGAATGACTAGAAGGATTGATGAGAGGAGTAGGAACTGGATAGATAGACAGATGGAAAGATGAATGACTAGAAGGAAGGATTGATGAGAGGAGTAGGAACTGGATAGATAGACAGATGGAAAGATGAATGACTAGAAGGATTGATGAAGGAGTAGGATTGATAGATAGACAGATGGAAAGATGAATGACTAGAAGGATTGATGAGAGGAGTAGGAACTGGATAGATAGACAGATGGAAAGAGAATGACTAGAAGGGAGTTGATGGAAAGATGAATGACTAGAAGGATTGATGAGAGGAGTAGGAACTGGATAGATAGACAGATGGAAAGAGGAATGACTGGAAGGATTGATGAGAGGAGTAGGAACTGGATAGATAGACAGATGGAAAGAGGAATGACTAGAAGGATTGATGAGAGGAGTAGGAACTGGATAGATAGACAGATGGAAAGAGGAATGACTAGAAGGATTGATGAGAGGAGTAGGAACTGGATAGATAGACAGATGGAAAGAGGAATGACTAGAAGGTTTGATGAGAGGAGTAGGAACTGGATAGATAGACAGATGGAAAGATGAATGACTAGAAGGATTGATGAGAGGAGTAGGAACTGGATAGATAGACAGATGGAAAGAGGAATGACTAGAAGGTTTGATGAGAGGAGTAGGAACTAGATAGATAGACAGATGGAAAGAGGAATGACTAGAAGGATTGATGAGAGGAGTAGGAACTGGATAGATAGACAGATGGAAAGATGAATGACTAGAAGGATTGATGAGAGGAGTAGGAACTAGATAGATAGACAGATGGAAAGAGGAATGACTGGAAGGATTGATGAGAGGAGTAGGAACTGGATAGATAGACAGATGGAAAGATGAATGACTAGATGGTTTGATGAGAGGAATAGGAACTGGATAGATAGACAGATGGAAAGATGAATGACTAGAAGATGATGAGGAGTAGGAACTAGATAGATAGACAGATGGAAAGAGGAATGACTGGAAGGTTTGATGAGAGGAGTAGGAACTAGATAGATAGACAGATGGAAAGAGGAATGACTAGAAGGTTTGATGAGAGGAGTAGGAACTGGATAGATAGACAGATGGAAAGATGAATGACTGGAAGGTTTGATGAGAGGAGTAGGAACTGGATAGATAGACAGATGGAAAGATGAATGACTGGAAGGATTGATGAGAGGAGTAGGAACTGGATAGATAGACAGATGGAAAGATGAATGACTAGAAGGTTTGATGAGAGGAGTAGGAACTAGATAGATAGACAGATGGAAAGATGAATGACTAGAAGGATTGATGAGAGGAGTAGGAACTGGATAGATAGACAGATGGAAAGATGAATGACTAGAAGGATTGATGAGAGGAGTAGGAACTGGATAGATAGACAGATGGAAAGATGAATGACTAGAAGGAGTAGGAACTTGATAGAACTGATAGATAGACAGATGGAAAGATGAATGACTAGAAGGTTTGATGACTGAGAGGAGTAGGAACTAGATAGACAGATGGAAAGATGAATGACTAGAAGGATTGATGAGAGGAGTAGGAACTGGATAGATAGACAGATGGAAAGATGAATGACTAGAAGGTTTGATGAGAGGAGTAGGAACTAGATAGATAGACAGATGGAAAGATGAATGACTAGAAGGATTGATGAGAGGAGTAGGAACTGGATAGATAGACAGATGGAAAGATGAATGACTAGAAGGATTGATGAGAGGAGTAGGAACTAGATAGATAGACAGATGGAAAGATGAATGACTGGAAGGATTGATGAGAGGAGTAGGAACTGGATAGATAGACAGATGGAAAGATGAATGACTTGAAGGATTGATGAGAGGAGTAGGAACTGGATAGACAGACAGATGGAAAGATGAATGACTAGAAGGATTGATGAGAGGAGTAGGAACTGGATAGATAGACAGATGGAAAGATGAATGACTAGAAGGATTGATGAGAGGAGTAGGAACTTGATAGATAGACAGATGTAAAATGTGACGACTCAAAAGATAGACAGATAGAAGAAGAGAGGACAAAAATTAGATCATAAATGGACAGAGGCAGGATGAATAAGTTGATTGAGGCAGATAGAATAAGATAGATAAACAAATAAAAAAGTGAGGACAGCTAAGAAAGGCAGATATAGAAAGTAAGGGCAGGATAGATAGATGGAGGGAGTGAGGATGGGATAAAAAGACGGAGGGAGTGAGGACAGGATAGATAGATGGAGGGAGTGAGGACAGGATAGATGGATCAAGATAAATAAACAGATGGAGGGTGTCAGGTTAAACAGGATCATTATATGACCATAGATGGATTGAAGACAAAATAGAAATAGACAAAGGGAATGAGGACAGAACAGAGAGACTAATTAAAGACACTGAAGACATATGGAGAGGGCAAATTAAAAACTAGAAAATGTGAAATAAAAATAATGTCATTTGAAGACAGGATTTCAAAATTAGAAATAGAGATGAATAGAGTGGAGTTAGGACAGAAAAGGAGATGGAGGAATTCAGGTCAAGGATAATAATTAGGGCAATGAATGATAGAATGAAGAAGTTTTGGTAGGAGTGATGGACAAAAGAGAAATAAAAACAGTATAAGTAGACAGATGGAGGTAATTAATGATACGAGACTTACTGGCAGAAAAATGAAGACAGGACTGAGAGAACGTAGGATGAGGACAGGACTGAGAGAATGTAGGATGAGGACAGGACTGAGAGAAAGAAGGATGATGACAAGACTGAGAGAACGAAGGATGATGACAGGACTGAGAGAACGTAGGATGAGGACAGGACTGAGAGACATAAGAATGAGGACAGGACTGAGAGACAGAAGAATGAGGACAGGACTGAGAGAATGAAGGATGAGGACAGGACTAAGAGACAGAAAAATGAGGACAGGACTAAGAGACAGAAAAATGAAGACAGGACTGAGAGAACGAAGGATGAGGACAGGACTAAGAGACAGAAGGATGAAGACAAGACTGAGAGACAGGACTGAGAGACAGAAGAATGAGGACAGGACTGAGAGACAGAAGGATGAGGACAGGACTGAGAGACAGAAGAATGAGGACAGGACTGAGAGACAGAAGAATGAGGACAGGACTGAGAGACAGAAGAATGAGGACAGGACTGAGAGACAGAAAAATGATAACAGAACTAAGAGACAGAAGAATGAGGACAGGATTGAGAGAAAGAAGAATGAGGACAGGACTTATAGACAGAAGAATGAGAACAGGACTGAGAGACAGAAGGATTCACATTTATGTATAATTCAGAATTTATATATTTTTATTGGGCTCAGATTTTGTGGTTTTACAGTTTCATTGGCACTTGATTTTGTGGTTAAATCTTGCCAACAAATTCCACTGATACAATGAACTATTTTCCTTATTTTTTTTTTTTGTGAACATATATATCTGAATTTAGATTACCCTTGAAATCAATGAAAAAATTCTGTGAAAAATTAACGACCCTGCAGTATGCAGATATTCTAATTGAGTAGTCTGTTTAGTGTCTGTAACTGTTTATACACTGGAGACAAAACTTTTCACACTGAAAGAGATTGTACAGATAACTCAATTTTACCTTTTATATTTGGAATGTGAAACTATTATGAGTAGCGTTAATACAAATTTTCTGCATTTGCTGGTAACAAGAGTTATTTCCCTTGTCATACTCTCCTGCCATGGTGACTGAAACCTAAGATGTTATGGGTGTCCCTTTAATTTGAATCCAATTGTCTGTAGTACATTTTGATAGATAAAGAATACAATCTGTGGTTTAACTTTGCAAATGGTTAATGTTACAATGTAATGATATACATTATATTACTTCACCTAATTTAACAATAAGAATCCTTTCAGTGGTTTATTAAAAAGAGAGACAAACAAATAATTTATACTTTCTGTAACCCTGCAGACTTGAGGATGAATGATGTGACAGAGGTCATGAATTATTTGAATGCCTCTGCTAGGATTTGAACCCAAATCCTCTTGCTTACCAGTCTGTTGCTCGACCGATTGAGCTTAAGAGAAGTTCTCTCTAGCTAGGCAGTATATTGTGGGTTGTATTTACCATGGATACATATTCCATCTCCAGGAAATAACTCGTCCTTGAGCTTCCAGGGAATTATAGCGATGCCTGTGGGACAATACTAAGTGTTATTCCCAAGTTCCAACATGGGTTCCAATGTAACAGAGGTCATTATTTATTTCAATGTAATGTTTCATAGTAGTTTTACATCTTATGTAATCTTATTTTTCTGCCTTGTGTTTCAAACAAAGAAACGTGGAAAATTTGTAAAAAGATGGCAAGTAAAAATATCATTTTCAGCTCATATGGTCCGAAGGGCCAATTGAGCTATATGGATACTGCTGTGTCTGTTATCCGTTAGGTGTCTGTCAACTTTTATTACAAAATGCTACTAGTCATCAACAACTGAGGGGATTTTGACTAATTTTGGTCTGAAGCATCCTTAAGGGAAGAGGAAATTTCTTGTATAAATGGTGTGTCCCATACTTGGTCTGAAGCATCTTTGGTGAAGAAAAATAGTTTTGTATAAATGGTGCCTCCCCACCTCGGGCATGAGGTGCGGGGCCCAATATGGGAAATAGAAAGCAAATTCTTTTTAATTCTACTCCTGTAGGAATGATTAGATTTGTCCAAATTTGGTGAAGATCATGTTTTATCCACATCCCTTAACCTTGTACAGCATTGCTGGGCATAAAGAAATAAACACAATGGTGATGTAAGAATTGGCCCTGGGGTCTGGCCCTATTATATCAACTCAGTTTCATGGTAATATCTATGGAAGAGTTGAAATCCCTACCCCTAAAACATATATAACAATGCTGGGAATCACGAGAACTGGCCCTTGGGTGTAACCCCACCATATAAACTCTTAATTAGAATCAAAAGAGAAAGACAGTATTGACGTAAGAATTTTTGCATTGGTCTTGGCCCATCAAATAGGTTAAGTGACTGAACTTTGATTTGGAAACATTTGAAATACCCAACCTATAATCATGTATAACATTGCTGGGCATTAAGATCCGGGGGAGTGATACAGGCCTTATGGGCCTCTTGTTTTACTGTTGATATATTGATATCTTAGGAATATATTAATTATCAAAACAACATTGAAAAAATGATTTACTTTGTTGTTTTATTAAGCTGATCATTAACCCGGTCGAGTTAACCTTGGTCAGGAGAATCTGACCAAGTCTTGCTCTAATAGTGATGATAGATATCTGATCTTTATCTATTTACTAGCATCAGCAGCACCAGCAGGAAGAGCTGGAGGTGACTGACACAGACAGTACGGTCAAGGTTTACAGTGAGAGGCCCCATCTGGTCAGTCTGGGCAGTGGTCGGCTGTCCACAGCGGTCACTATCGTACCTCTACAGGAAGGTCAGTATGATCAGAACTCATTCTGAAGGAGGATTCAGTCATTACAAAAGGTCAACATCAAAGTAACTTAGGTACTCAAGGTCAAGGTTACAATCAATTTTAGTTACCAAGGTCAAGGTTATAATCAATTTTAGTTACCAAGGTCAAGGTTACCATCACTCTCTGAACCTAAGGACAAAGTCACCTTCATTCTGAATGATCAAGATGAAGATCATTTTTACTCTTTAAGTAGTCAAGGTCAAGGTCACCATTAATCTTATGACCTAAGATCGAAATCATTTTCACTGGCATTACTCATGGTCAAGGTTGCTGAACCAAGGTCAGAATTCACCATTTACTTGTGTAACCAAAGATCATATTGCATTTGTCTCATAATATTTAAAGATAGACCATGGAAAGTTGAGGACTGGGATCTAGATCACCTATATATAATATATAATTCAATTAAAAAGTATCCTAAACTATGATTTAAAATATATTTGTAAATATAATTTTGCTTCTGAGGTCAAAAAGCCTTCAGTCAGAGGTCAGGGTTAGAGTGAATAGTGTAAGTTTATTGTTGCTTTGTGTCTTACTAACATTTAGGGATGTACCAGGTTTACTAGGGGAAAGTCAGAGAAAAAACACTGACCAGTGACTGACCAAAGTATGCCTCAAACCCATGACTTTATATGTTAATAAAAATATTAAAACTTTGTATGACAAATACCAAGATGTTATTAAATCCATTCCAAACGATTTTTTCTTACTGGATTTGTATCTTGAATTATTTTGAAGGACGTACAGAGATCGGGACGGCAAACTGTGCTGTGATGCCTGACATTGTGATCCAGGGTACAGGGATTGAGGATGAGCACTGTTACATAGATAACATTTACGGAACAATTACCTTACACCCTATAGCTAGGATGTGTTCCATAGATGGAAAGATGGTCACGGAGCCAACCAAACTCTCACAAGGTCAGTATAGATCTCTCTAGGTCAGTGTCATATCTTAAAGTCAGTGCTGATGTCGGAAGGTCAGTGCTGATCTCTGAAGGTCAGAACTGATACATGTACCTCAAGGTCAATTTTGATATTTCATGGTCAATTTTGATATTTGAAGGTCAGTTTTGATAATGGTAACGTAGGATGAATGTCTAGAAAAGAAAAACAAAACATCAATATAGAAAATGATCATGAATTTATTTACAGAATGCTGAAATCACACTCTTGTTCTTAAAAGTTCATACCAAAATGCAAGAGGAACACACAGATTCATGTCATCTCTAGAGTACTCTATACACTTCTAAAAATGATATAAGTTGAATCCATGTTATAATACAAACACAACACACCAGTAGGAATAAAAACAGTATATTACAACAATCACTAGATAATACTTTTCCTAACCAAGCAAAATACAATATAAACAATGATACATATGATTGAGCTACACTATCAGCTTTATTTTTTACCTACATGTGCGATGTTTATTTCGAAATGGACAAAAAAAAAAAAAGCAGCAAATTATGTAAATATAGAGGTACATGCTATAGTATTTACTCTGTGCCTGTGCTATGATTCATTCTGCACCGAAGATAAATTGTAAATGTTCTATTAGGATGATGATTATTTTGAAATGGACAAAAAATACAGCAAAATATGTTGATCTTTTCTATGTGCCTGTGTTATGACTCATTCTGTACAGAAAATAAATCGTAAATGTTCTATAAGGACAAAATGTCCAGCATCTGGCATGACCTTACTGACCTAGTCACATAGATGCTGTGGTTGTCAAACAGTAACAAAAACAAAAACACACCAACACAAATAGATGTATAAATACAAATGGGAGTGGTCGAGTGACACATTGGTAACACATTTGACTTTAACGGCAGCTGCCTAGGGTTCTATTCCAGGAATGACATTAAAAGGTCAAGGTCACCTGCCTGACTAAGCTGGGTTTTCCTCGGGTACTCTGGTTTCCTCCCACAGTTAGACCCCAAACAAAAGTGATTTATATAAACTGATAGCTTGTTTCACATGTTGTAATATGAATAAAGTTCATATTTTTTTTTATATAAATGTGAAAATATCTAAATGTCAGTGTTGATATATTAGAGTCATTTTAGATATTTCAAGGTCAATTTAAATATCTCAAGGTCAGTTGTTAATTTCAAGTTTGGTATTATGTCAAGGTTTTCAAGTTTATGTTACTGACTTAAGGTCAGAAAAGATATTTCAAGGTCAGTTTTGGTATCTCAAGGTCATTATTGATATTTTTAAGTCAATGCTGATGATAATTTGATATCTACAGCTTTGACATTCACTTCTATAACATCCCAACCACCCTGACTGATTGACTGGCGTTATCAGGTACAGGGATTTAGTGTGTAATTCTCCTCGATTACAACACTATCACCTCATTCTGTTTTATCTCTGATGTGTAACATTGACATTTACGATCCTGAAAAATGTTTGAGATTTGTAAAAAGCCAAATGTCTTTGAATTAAGCAGTTACTACACCAACTCCCAGTAGTGTTTATATCTAGACTATCAGTGCAGCCTAACAAATGATACTTCATTTTATAATAAATATGTGCCTTTGCGCAGATTTGCGGATTAGAAGTGGTTAGGTAGGATGCAGTTGTTTGTAGTTACTGTAGAAGCCGTGACTAAGTGAAAACCATCTATAATGTGTTTTCTGCCGAGTGCATTAGATAACTGTCTGTAGCAGATACACTGTTGCTGTAATTTAACAGATTAACAGACAGCTTGGTGTTCTATTGGGAAAGCTATGCAATATACTGACACTCTTCCTCTAACACTCTGTCTCCAGAGCTTCCATTTTAAAACCAGACTGCCTGCATTTGTAACAGGTCTTAACATGTCTTTGTATGGCTGCATTTTATCACTTATAGCTACCTCTGCTATTGATATTTGCCAGAACTCATCCAGTGAAAATTTCATTATAGAGTGTTAAAATTCCTATTACAAAATTGTAAAATATCTTTTAAAAGGTGGTAAAATTTCCTTTACAAAATGATCAAATTTCTAAAATTCCCATTACCAAATATGAAATTTCCTAAATTCCCATCACAAAATGGTAAAATTTCCATCACAAAATTGTGAAATTTCTATTTAAAAACGTTATAATTTCCATGACAAAAGGTTTCTTAAATTCTTATTACAAAATGTTAAATTTCCAAAACAGTGAAATTTTCATGACAGATTCATCAAATTTTATAGACAATTAATATGTTCCCCCTGGAACCTCCTGCCAGCTTCTACCAACTGTTAGTAAGGCTCTCCCTCCCATGTGTCTATTCAGGTCAACTTGAGTGTTAATCAATACATGTTTTTACAGTACTTTATCTAGGACATGTACTTCATACTCCCAAACCAGACTGCCAAAGTCAGCCACAATTACACTGAATAATGTGATTGGATTCAAAATGAAGTTTCAGAGTGATCTGCCACTGGAAAAAGTCGGAATTAAAAAGACAGTTTATGAGTAGGATAACACAGGTGTATTGGGCCTCTTCTTTGACACTTCCTGTTATTTCTGAATGATCCAATCAACCTCTGCCACATTCTTTCATAACAGTAGATATTTTAGAATTCTGACAGACAGAATAAAAACATGTTACTAAATCCTGCCAAAGAAAAACAACCTCCAACGAGAATGTTTCCTCGTCATCCCGTATGTAATTACTAGGTTATCGTTACAGTGCAGCAGTCAATTACCTCAACATTTCTGTCGCAATCTTCTCTGCCAAGTTATCTCCCCTTTATGATCCTGTAATTGGATTCCTCTTCCATGATGGGCAAACAGTCACGTTTTTCCAACATCTTTTGTGATTTATATAGATACAAATTATATACACTATGAATCATTATATCTAATGTAGGAATGGTGGGAGGTGATTGTAAGGGCTGAACATTTGGTAGATAACTGGAGGGAGGTAATTGTAAGGCAAGATAAATAGGGAGGAAATGGTAAGTTGATGGTTAGATGAAAAGGAGGGAGGTAACTGTAAGGCCAAAATACTAGGAGAGACTGTTGGCATAGGTTGATGGTTTGATGAATAAGAGTGGGGTTATTGTAACTGCAGATAAGTAGGGAGAAAATTGTAAGAACAAGGGGGAGGGGGTGATTGTAAGGGCAGCTAGATCATGTAGGTGGATGAGATGTTCTCGTGTCTCCCGTTTTAGCCAGGAAAGATCAGCTTGTCACCCACTAGGGGGAGATAGCCTCGTGCCAATTAGCATATGCTAAACCGGAAGTTTGACCGGAATTGGTATCAATCATGAACTTCAAAGTAGGAAATGTGGTGAGAGTAGGTGCAAATTGTAGGATAGGGAAACTTTTTCGCCCCATAGGAACATACTTCATGTTTAAAGTCCAAATGTTTGACTCAACCTGTCATGTCGGCAAGTGCACACTTTGAAGTGACAGCGAGAAAAACGACTGTTTATATATGAATGTGGTATATATCACATATGTTGATTCATTTCATTGCTGTATGATACATAAAATACTATATTGTAAGTGATTCATTATTGATTTTTTACGATCTTTATTTTGTTGCATAATGATTCACATGCAAATGGTGACGTCATGAAACGTGAATGGTGATATTTATGCGCCATTCAGACGCTTGTACTGTGGGACGTTGTGGAGAAAATAATGGGGTGGGAGAAAAATAATCATCCCCTACCCTCAGAGGTTGTGACTGAGAAATTTCCAAACCGAGGCTCTGCCGATTGTCAAACTACAAAAAAATCATCCTGAGGGTAGGGAAAAATTCTGTTAATGAATAGGAGAAACCAAGAGAGGGAATTTATAGAGGATATTGTAGTTTTCAAAAGACATTCACTGGTTTGAGTAATCAGAGATTGAATGGTGTGAAAACGAATTATATATAGTGATACTCATGTTGTAACACTTTCACCTAAAAGTAAACACATGGAGTGATATATTTGAACTTTGCCGACCCATTTATGTGTGAGTTTGTCAAATTTTTTCCATGTGCCTGTTATTCACATATTGTTTAGAAGATACAAATTTCAAATGGTAAATGTTGCATGCAAATATTTCTTAATTATACTGGAATTCTATGTGCAATGATTAGATTTAGTTATTAGCCCACCATCATCAGATGGGCTATTCAAATCGCCCTGCGTCTGTGGTCCGTGGTCCGTCCGTCCGTCTGTAAACAATTCTTGTTACCGCTATTTCTGGAAAAGTCCTGGATGGATCTTTCTCAAATTTCATATGCAGGTTCCCCTTGGTCCCTAGTTGTGCATTGTACCTTTTTTGGACTGATTCAAATTCAAGATGGCCGACAGGTGGCCATCTTTTATTTTGAAAGTAAAAGTTTGTTACTGCTATTTCTGGGAAAGTACTGGATGGATCTTTCTCAAATTTCAGATGCAGGTTTCCCTTGGTCCCTAATTGTGCATTTCACCTTTTTAGGACTGATCCAAAATCAAGATGGCTGACAGGCAGCCATCCTGGATTTTGAGAGTAAAATCTTGTTACTGCTATTTCTGAGGAAGTACTGGATGGATCCTTCTGATATTTCATAGATATTGGTTTCCCTTGTCGATAGTAATACAACACAAGCATATTGTCCATTATCCACCTGTAACTGACTGCTATCTAATAATACTTTGGGATCTTTTTCAAATGATATTTGCTAACAGGTGCTTAATAAAAATATCTTGTGCCATCATTGAGTACATTCAATGAAGACCAGTTCATGAACATTTACACCTGTAACAAACAAACAAAAATAAACAAATCTTCAAGAACTGAAAACAGATCCTCAAATGGTGGGCGCCAAGATCCCTCTGGGATCTCTTGTTAGGAATAAACAAGAGTTATGAGCCTTTGTTATTTGTATACATGAATAGAGATTTCAGTATCGATATCATCAATAAAAAAGACAGATTTTTGTTGTTTTCTGAAAAT